CCTATGAGGATAGGAAGAACGTTTAGTTAAAAAATATACTTTATGGTTCAATAAAATCTCAAGAATTTCCAGTTTAAATGAATATTAATTAAACATGGCTATATCACTTTTCAACTATTTTATTACATTTTTGATAAATTATAGCCTAGAAGAGAGAAGACAGATTTCTTAAAAATGGAAGCTTTCTCAGATAGTTATTTAATATATCAAGCAAGTTTTCTTCTTCAGATTCTTCGAATTGCGGCAGATTCTAAACGATATTGTCTTGCACTTTACCATGATATTAAGTGTGAATATGAACATTAAAAAATATATTTTTTACTCAAAAACCGTTTCCTATCCTCAAGGTCTGAAGTATACACTGCCTGATTTGGCACGTGTTTTAAAATCAATTTATTTTAATTATTTTCACTTATCATAAAAGTTTTACGGCAAATGCACATTATTATAGAAGTTTTACAGGCAAATAGTACTTGTTACAGGAATTTATACTACAGGATTATTTAAAAAGAACAGCGTACCCGTGCGAGAACTCACGCACGATAAACCCCACTCCCTTCCCTATCCCCCTTCCATTATCATATTAAGGAGGAATATTGTAAACGAAACGTGTTTAATTGCTTATAAAATATATAAAGGTTACTTAGAATGTTCTTACTGAAAAATGAATAAAAAATTAAGCAAATTTCCAATAAAGGTTTATTCAGTTTTATAGACACATGTTCGCGAATAATTTACAACACTTTCTTTAAAAAAATTACGTAATTATACAATCTTCTTTGACTATAATTTGCCTTTAAATTATCTTGATAATTACAAAAATATTATAAAAAGCTTTCCAGGTTTTGAGACCGTAAAACTCTTTGTTTTGGAAACATGTAACTTTATATATTTCAACAATGCTGTCCAAGTGTCGCGGGTTGCATTTGACATTAATATTTTGATGCTTTCTTTTTCTCAATAAATCCTTCTCATCTTACAAGATAAAATTCGTGAAGTTTTCGTGAAATCTTTTTTTAGAGACCTCATGTATAAATATTGGTTGCGTCTGAGAGCCGCGAAATTCAACGATACTACTGAAATAATATAGGAGAGGATGATTCGAATAATCTCCACAACAAATTGGGTACGTCGTATAGTACTTAATTTCGGTATTCGCGCGACGTCTAATCGTCTTCGTTATTTCAACTGCGGTTGCTAGTCGTAGTGGTGAATTCAGATAGATAGGAGATGGAAGTATGTATGATTATGGAACGTGAACTAGTACCAATACCCATGCTCAAGATGAACCCGAAACCTCAGTCCTTCGTGCCCGAAGCTGCTGAGGCGTTTTCACATTACCGACCTCCGATAACTAGAAAGTGCATTATTGTTGTTGTAGACGATTTTGGCTTGTATATCATCCGACACTTGCAAAGTTGCATGGGATCAAACATTTTGCCTTTCAATGCATTAATAACGCATGATGAGTTCTTAATTTCGGTATTCGCGCGACGTATAATCGTCTTCGTTATTTCAACTGCGGTTGCTAGTCGTAGTAGCGAATCCAGATAGATAGGAGATGGAAGTACGTACGGATGGAAGTAGGTAGAAGCTCACGTATGAGGAACCGGAGCGTCTGGCTGGCGGGCGCCGACGTGAACTTCCTCTGCGCCTCGCACCGCGCCGCCCGCGCCGCGCCGCCTGCTCCGGCAGCTGTGCCGCCCTCTGGCCCGCGGGGCTTCGGCGCGGGCGTGTTCCCGCCCGGGCCCCGCCTTCCGCCCCATTACACTTTCTGGCTCGCCCGCGTCCGCCCGCCACGCACTGCACATGGCGCTTCCGCGGCCGGGCCTCGCCAGGCTGTGCCACGCGCCCCGGCGCGCGCCTGCGGTCGAGGCGCAGGTTCCCCTCAACCGGCTGCCGCCAAGGCGACCGGGAAAGCTTTGCCCACAGGGCGCGTGCGTGGGTTGGGAGTATTACCACACCCTTTGAAGAAACAGTTAGGATGTGTTTTTTTTTCGTGGAGGGGAGGGGACATTTTGATCCTTGTTGCACGTGATCGTTGTGGCTTTAGGGCTATGTCATATCTTCTCAATTACGCATGGTGAGTACTTAATTTCGGTATTCGCGCGACGTCTAATCGTCTTCGTTATTTCAACTGCGGTTGATAGTCGTAGTGGTGAATGCAGATAGATTGGAGATGTATGATTGTGGAACGTTAACTAGTACAAATACCCAAGCTCAAGATGGACCCGAAACCTCAGACCTTCGTGCCCGAAGCTGGGAAAGGTTCGCGAAGTATCTGGTGCTGCACAGAACTAGCAAAAATGATTGCGCCTGAGCAGCTCACCCGTCTTGGTCCCAAGTGCGTCACTCCGATAGATCAAAATGCATGGCTCTGCAGTAAACTGTGCGCGCCGCGTTACATTAGAATTTTTTATTTAAATTTAGATTTCAAAATACCGCTCCTCGAAGAGCAATTTAAAAATCTAGCTTCCAAATTCTACACAAAACTCAACGCGCCCATAATGACAATTAAATTCGGTTTTGTACGAGCCGAATCCGACGACCAAGTAGAAGCGCCCGAGAGATATACTACAGTAGACAACCCCGAAAAAAGCAAAGCGGGCTAAACGCCAATATTGTCAAGAAAATTGCTGTAAACAACGCCAAAACCGCGCCGAACGACATATGTGTTTCCTGACCTCTGTTATATTATTATTATTATTATTATTATTATTATTATTATTATTATTATTATTTTAATTTGTTTCGTCTACATAGACGCAACGCGTCTCCTAACTCCGTAAGGGGCGTTGAGCGCATTGGAGTAATCCTCCGTTATTAAGCACCCCGTAGGGGCCCGTAGGTGTATTGCAAAGTCACGTCAGTCACAGTCAAGTCAGAGAATCCGCCGACAAGTAGCGTCATCGCGCTCGCGTCTCACACGCGCCCTGCGTTATCTACCCATCGGGCAGAATTGGGAAGGAACAAGGATATGGGTAAGGTTGAGGACGCTCACAGACATTGGACTGGCCCCTGTGAAGCACGGACAGATTATTACAGATCAACCATAGATGTCCACAAGGATAGCGATGGCTACAACGCAGAGAAGTGTGGCGGCTTTGCACCCTGCGGCCACACGGAACTGTGCTGAATAGCGATGACCGTGCCTCACTCACTAAGCGCAAGTGGGCAGTCGCGTGAGCAGCTGCGATTTGGGCCTCTGGATGCCCGCCCGCTCACCCGCCCACCCGGAAGGCTGCGCTCGCAATTAGGCTTTTGACGCGCCGCTCCCCCCCCCCGCCCACTTTCCTCGATTGTGCGCCGTCCTTTCGTGCCGACGTGATAACAGCCCGAGAGATATCTGCGTCAGCACTTGTCTTCTTCCTGCGCGCCCGCTGCAGCCCGTAATCGGAATCTGCTTCCTCCGCCGGGCTTTCACTCTCGTTTCTTTCATTTGCGTGACGGTTCGTTGCTGCGAATTTCATTTGGGTTTACCTTGTAACGGGAGTGCTCTGTATCTGCTCTTGGGATTGCGATGGAATCGAATGAGTTCGTTTTTTATCCTTCGGAATCTTTTTTTCTTTTTTTTTTTTCTTTTTTTTTTCGGGAGGTGGAATTTGTGTCCGTTCTGGGGCAATGGCCTTCATGTCGATTCTACTTTTATTGGTTAGATACTCGTATTTTAATAGCTTCGGTCGTCACAACTCACACTGCCAGAGAAGAAATTCAATCAGGTTGAAGAAACATTTGCCGGATGTTAACTACCTGTGTCTAATGTAGTCCATTTTACGCTCTTTCTTTCCCACCTTGCACGATTTTCATGGCTGTTTCTTCTCCTTAATCCCTGCCGGCGAATCTAGACAATGAAGTGTGTGTGAGTGGGGAGGTCACAATTTTGTCGTGATTGAACATAAGAATATTTAATAGTTTTCTAACACGTGAAAGGTAAAGCAGTATTTTTTTGTAATCGCAAGATTCTCGGTTCATTAACAGTGGTGCATCCATGGTGCTTCACCCTCCTCCAGAAACCAACATTGCGTATTAAAACAAACAGCTATTACTATCTGTCTATACTATCAAAAGAGCTTCAATATATCAATTGTTTATATTATATATAACTATAAGTTAAAACAAAAATAACTACAAGTCAACAACTGAAAATACATTTCATATTTAACAAAAATTAATAATTCTTTATAAGAAAACATCAAGTCCGCTAGACCCAGTAACTGTAATCTCCCCGCTCCCGTCGAGAAAAATGCGTCTTTGGCTAACAAGCGATCATTAGTAATAAGTTAAAGTCAGTTCAAGTTAAAAGGGTTGCGTTCTATCACAAATAATGCAATCTAATAATTTTGTGGGGAAGGGGCTTGGGGATGTGTCACATACATCGATGCATTCCATACCTCCCATGGCCGTGGGTGAATTTCTAGCGCATGGGAAATGAAACATACGATGATCAAAAGGTATCACCACATCGCCCGGCACTAAGAATAAGGCATGGGTTGAGGAAGGAAGAATCACACGCGGTTTGTGGCCAATGACAGTTGTGCTGCTATATCCACGTGGAGTTGATGAAAGAAATTGACAGGAACGACTGATTGATTATTTAGTCCTCCGGACGCGGCAAGAGCTATTGCAATTAATGCTCGTGGGTGTAGTGCGTGTTATGTCCGGGGTAGTGGCTGCATTCCTTCTCTGCTGGAACATAAGATCCTACACGTCGACTTCCGCGGTTTTCCCTCTCCAGGCAAGTGGGCCAGTGGGGCACCGCGCCAGTCGAAAAAAAGCCATTAGTGTCCCAACATTATGGTCTCCGATGAGAACAATTGGCCGCTAGAATTTTTATTAAGGCAGTATCGACCAATCTTATTATGTAGTAGCTCATGACGAAAGTCCTTCACCGTCATTCTCGAATTTAGAAACTCCCTCTCTACAAAACTTAAGTTGCAAACCCGTAAGTAAATATTAAATAGCATGTGCTAATACTATCACAGCCGGTACTTCAATCTCTTTATGTGTATATTTTTTTTTTCATTTCCCCAAATTACATTGAATTTTTTCAACAACGTTTTGGGGAATTCTACGACCGTAAATTCCCGTAATTCTACCCCGTAAACTCCTTGAGAACCGTTAACTGATTTCCACCCTCTTCTATTATTTGCCGTCTGGCATGCTCCCGTGACCGTGTTACTTAATTGGTCCTTCCTCCCCGCCTTGCGGAACGCCCGGAGTCGTGTGAAGCGCAAGGCCGGACCGCGCCGCGCCCCGCCTTTTGTCCCGCGTGCTCGTGCATCTCGTTTGCCCTGCCCTCGCAGCACCTGCCGCCGCATTCCGCCCCGAGCGGGGCTTCCTGCTGCGCGGCCGCCAACAAAGCCCCTCTCGCACGCCCGCGCCTTTGTTCCGCCCCGGCCGCAGGACGTGTCCGAGGGCGGTCACGCGGATGATGCTTTATATCCGGGCGCACACGAACGCCTGCATGATGCGAGACTCCTGGACCCGTTTTGATGAGGAGTTAAACGCAGGCGAAAGTCCTTTCAGAAGCACAGGTAAAGGTTTGAAGATGCTGGGAAGATGTTTTTTTCTCATTCAAAGAAGAAATCGGGAATTATTTACAGAATAAAAGCCGTTTTCTGGTAATTTATGAAACATTAATTTTAAAAGTTATTTGTTTCAGAATTTAAAAAAAAAGCACGTGACAACAAGTGAGACCGTCAATGAGAAATGGGAGAGTGCATCTTAAAAAAATAAAAGTGAGACTGGACAATTTGGAGACAAATGAATTTTTAAATGAGCGATGCAATGTCTGCTGTTCTATCAAATTCGTGTATAGTGCGTATACAGTACGTACTATTATATTTATGACATAAGGCTTTTTTATCGCTTCTCTGTTAAAATAAAGAAAATACAAGAAATTGACGAGGATCTGAAGATCCTTTGTAAACGACGGGAGAGGCAAAACACAATCGCATTTGTTCAGAAACCGAATCGCTAAAAGAGCTGCGTGTCTCAAAATCTATTTCGCCATCCAATATTCTTCTCGCCGACGATGCGGGCTGTGGAGACTTCCGTGTCGTCGTAGTTAATGATGCTCGAGAGCGCCGTGTGCAGCTGGGAGGTCGCGAGCCGCCCCAGCTCCACACGCGGCGTCGCGCGTCGCGGAAGCCGCTCGTGTGGCGCGCGCGCGCGGCGCCGCGAGCGACGTCGCTTCCGCGCTGGCGCAACTCCCTCGCACCCACGGCCCTTGCCACGCCTGCGCCTCGCTGCTGCGCCCGGGCCCCGCCGCCTCCCGCCTTTGCCAGGCCACGCGCGGGTCGACCTGCTCCCACCTCCGTCTTTCCCATTCCCTGGCTTAACTGGCTCAGGGCATCCATTGATGTCACTGCAGTGCCTCTGACTGGGAGGACCTAGGGTTCGAGTCTTTGCCCGCTACTAGTGATGCGACATCGATAATAACACATCGATGTTCAAAATTAAAACATCGGTGATAAAAATACATCGACTATAAACCATCAGTGGTTTTCAACATCAAGGTTTTTAGATTGGATTAGTAAACACTACCATTAAATTCGTGTGCATTAAAATTTAATATTACAGTGCTTACCGAATAAGGGTACGAGATTAAGGGACAGACCCTACGACCACAGAGTATTTGTTGACCCT